TTTTCCCAGATAATCCCATATCTAGCTATAATTAGATGCTCCATTATCTATTAGCCACTTATTCTCTTTTGATTCTGATTCAGCATCATCATAAATAAGGCTTTTCTGGTCAATTAGTAAAAACCTTTTTCCTTTGTATGCTGCATTAGTACTATCATGTTTCTGATTTTTAAAATTGCCTCTCTGTTTGTTTATAGCTTGTGTGCTGTTCCTATGCGTCTTTCAAAAATTATTGTTAGCTGGTAGCTCTCTACAGTCCTTTGCAAAGTGACCCGTTTTGTTGCAATTAAAGCAATGCAGCAACTGGTTTTTCTCCCTTTCTTTGGGTGAGACTTGCTCTTTCAAGCTCTTTCTAGAAATGTAATTTGAGCCATTCACTGGTTCAAATTGAGTAAGCTGTTTTGAACATTCCTCCCACAATTCTTTTAGTGCCTGATTGAAAGTTTTTGCTCTTTCTTTTGGTTTTGATTCTGCACACTCACAAATGCAGAAAAATCTTCCCCTAAAATCCCAAGCATAAAATTTGTCTTTTGTACATCAGTTAGATTAAAGCCACAGATTGTTAGATTTTCACACACCTGCCTCAGTTAAGTATTATTTACAATTTTCTCTGCTATATAGCCTTGTTTTGAAAAGTTTTCTTATCCATACTCCTTATGATTTGATAGTGGTAAACCAAAAATACTCTTCTAGACTTTTAAGCATTTATTTTCCTGTCTGGGAATTTTCAGACATGAAAGTCTCAGTGTAATCCAATGATCTCATAATAATGTTCTTGGCAGTCCCATTTTTTTGATTATCCAAGAGTCCAGTTCCTTGCCTTTCTCTGTTGGTTTTTCTTCCTCTAGGATTCCAGCAGATCCTTTTGCTTCAATGAGAAGCTAGCTTCTATAGTTCTCAGCAGTAAGTTCTGGAATATCCAAATACCTGCTTCATTCATTCATCCTTATCACAGCAACATGGAAAAGAACAATGGAGAATTTTTAAGGACAAAAAAAAAACACCCAAGGGCATCTGCTAATCAAATACTTTAAATCCTTTTTATTGGTTAAGTTTAATCTAGGTTTCTGATATATTATTGGGTTAAATGAAAAAAAAAATCATTTAACTTGGAAGCACAGAAGCTTCATACAGCATCTCCGATAGTCCATGTTTCCCGGTTAAGAGGGAAATGTATTTATCTATGTAATGGGACTTCTATCCCGCCCTCCCTCGCAAGCAGCCAAAGATGGGTAAAAAGCTGATCTGGCAACATTCATGACCTGGGCCTCCTTTGACAGCAAGGCATCCAGGACCACTCCTAAGCTCCTCACCACTGGTGTCAATGGTGCCCCGCCAAGGGATGGGAATCAGATCCCCGAACCCACCCACCCCACAACCAGTGTTCCCTCTAAGCTGCCTTAGTGTGAGCTAGCTCACAGTTTTTTAGACTCTGGCTCACACATTTTTGTCTTGGCTCAGGAAGGATGGCTCCAGAGCAAACTAATTTATGCAGTAGCCAAATCACTCACTCACAACTTTAATACTGGTGGCTCACAAAGTAGAATTTCTGCTCACAAGACTCCACAGCTTAGAGGTAGCATTGCCCACAACCCAGGCACAGGACCGCTGTCTTCAATGGATTTAGCTTCAGCCAGCTCTACGGTAACCAGCCAGCCACAGCCTCCCGTCCCCTGGCCAAGATAGATCGGGTGGAGTCCAGCCAGCAGTCCATCAGCAGGTACAGCTGAGTGTCATCAACGTACTGGTGACCAAAATGCTGTTCAAACAGTTACAAAGAAGAGAAAGACATTTTACTTACAAAAACAGAAACACTTCTTACATGACATATTCATGTAGCTACATTTAACTTACTGTGAACAGATTAACTCCAAAAAGGTTAACTTGCTACAGCTTCAAGCCCAGGTAAGAGGGGGAACAAGAGAGGTTCTATATAAGTTGAAACAGAGGGCAAGCAGTGGCCAAGAGGCTAACCAATGAGAGGGTGGGGCCAACTGCACTTGAGTGAGGGAATTCTCTTAACCCTTTCCCTCCCAGATCCTCTTGCCTGCAGACTTACCAATGACCAACAGAAACTGCCAGGGTTTACACATCAGCAGAGTGCTGAGAAGCTTTGAATGTTCTACTGGAGTCCTGAGCAATTTTCTTGGGAAAGCAAGTGGAGCATTTTAGTGTAAACACAGTTTTCCATCAGCAAATCAGCCAAACTGGAGAAAACTGCTAAAGAGATATGAATAGGAAAACTTGTGGGAAGAGAAGAGGGAGCAGCAGGAGGACAGAGAGAGATTGCAATGAATGCCAAGTGAACAGAGAGGGAGAAAGAGGAACCTGGGGAAAAAACAGGTAGAGGAGGAGCTTTGTACAAGGGTGTAGACAGGAAGAAAAGAACATCAGACCTCCATGTTCAGAGGCAGTGTACCTTTGAATACCTGAAGCCAGGAACAAGCAACACAGGAAGGTTGTTGCCTTTATTCCCTGCTGGTAACTCTACCAGCTGCCACCAATGTTCCCTCTAAGCTGTGGAGTCTTGTGAGCAAAAATTCTACTTGGTGAGTGACTGGCATTAGAGTTGTGAGCGAGTGATTTGGCCACTGCATAAATGAACTTCCGCTGGAGCCATCCCTTCCTGAGTTAAGACAAAAATGTGTGAGTCGGAGGCTAAAAAACTGTGAGCTAGCTCACACTAACTCAGCTTAGAGGGAACACTGGCTGCCACTGTTGGAAGCAAGATGCTGAACTAATCCAGTGGGGCTCTTTGTTCTGTTCTTAACTGCCAGAAGTTGGAGGATGGGAAGGCATTGGCTTTGCACACAAATAAGAATATTTTCTCACAATGCAAAATGAAGCAGTAGCTGGAATCGAAAGGGGGATCTTCTGAGTGATATTCTCTGCCATCAACTCTTTCTGCCAATCATATTAGGCTCCCACCATCCACAGGTTATTAATCGGGGTGGTGGCTACATCTCTATCGCCCACATTGTAAGTGCCTGTATTAGGTAGGGCCTTGTACTCCTTATCTGCAATCTTTAATATCCCTCTGCAGAGGCAGATAGTGCAGTTGGTGCGGCCTGTACCCAGCCTGCAATATCTTGCTAGCTGGGGCAGATGGGAACAAGAGATTCCGGCTTGTGCAAAAGAGCACGTGGAGCCGCTCTTCTTTGTCAACGTGTTCCTCTGTACTCCCTTCTGCAGCCCCCTCCCTTCCTCCCCACCCCCAGCTTTTGGGCAGCTCCAGGCTTTCCCAAGGGGACTTGCAGGGACACTCAGAACGGGGTGGGGAATGGCAGACAGACGCAGAGGTGTCCACAACAGAGACTGATACAACCAGCCCTGTACCAGCACAGACTGACTGTTGGCAATGTTAGGCAGTGCTTTGGATACTGGGGTGGGGAAGAGTTTAAACACCAGGCTAGAATGTGTGCTGATGAGTACCATGGATGGGCTGGCTGAACACTGAAGAGATGTCCCCTCCTGGCGGCTTCTTTCCTGCACCACTTGCAGTGCTGTGGCCAGCCCAGATAGGCCGCCTTCAGATAAATACACTTGGATGTTTTGTCTCCAGCCTACAGAGGGAGGCTTTGGACAGAGCTGTCCTTGAAAAATAGCAGTTTCTGTCAAGAGTTCTCTCAGCCCCACCCACCTCACAGGGTGTCTGTTGTGGGGAGGGGAAGGGAAAGGAGTTTGTAAGCCGCTCTGAGACACCTTTGGGTAGTGAAGGGCGGGGTATAAATCCAATCTCTTCTTCCTCCTCCTCCTCCTTTGGCCAGAGTCAGGCAGAGAAGCAAAGGGCGATTCTGCATCTGGCATTCGCTCCACATTTTCTCAACACTGAGGAAAAGGTGCAGCTCAAAACCACATTCAAACCACAACGCCGTACTGACTGCAAAGTCACCCCTGAATGGCCATAAATCTATGCAGAAGGTACCGTAAAATCCGATCATCAAAGAAAGTGAAAGTGGTGTGCCGTGTGGAGGGTACCATAAAATCCGATGATCAAAGAAAGTGAAAGCTGCATGCAATGCAGAGGGGAATTTCTGTTCCAAGGTGGGTTTGGTAAAACAACGGAGGGGAAAGCCAATGCAGAATTGCCCAACGGGTTAGAAGGCAGGCCTCACACCACAGGAAAGCTCTGTTGCAGATGGGTGCCCATGAGGACACACATGTGGATGCAATGCTGGGCGAGAGCATGGAAAACCATGGCCATTTCATCCAGAGGAACTGATCTCTGTCATCTGGAGGCCAGTAGTAATTCCGGGATATCTCCAGCTACCACCCGGAGGTTGACAACCCAGGCTCAGGATACCAGATCTCCCAATTAACATGTATCCTTGACCCAGTCAGGCTGATTTCATTTCCTTAGGCGCTAATTAGCTCTAGGTGACAGCTTCCCCTGGCATGCGGATCAGTGAGGACCATTTGGCCTGCACAGTTGGTCTTGGGAGCAGCGATTTCTCAGAGAAGGACCAGCAAAAAGAGAACCAAGGAGGTTTCCTGAGTGCATGTGTGGTCTCTGACTAAGAAGCCACTCCTCCGCCCAAACTTAGGGTTGCCACCTTGCAGTCTAAGCATAGGGCATAGATCCTAAAACTCACACTGAAGTGGGAGACAAGGCAACCAGGCCTCACACCTCTCCCTCAACTGTTGTATGACCTTTCTGGGCTCTTGATTGGCTATGGAGGTGAGGAAGGAAGAGCAGGGGAGGTGAGAGGAGCTCTGGTTGTTTTGTTTCTGGATTATTATTTTTTGTTTTGTTTTGTTTTAAATCTTCGGGGGAAGATTTAAAAGTCTGTGGTGGGTCGCAACTCTAAGAAAAACAAGCCATATGAGAAAGGGTCATTTACAGAAGTGGTCAGTGCATCAGTGGGAGTTGCGTCACACAAGGGCTCCCCTCAGTGTGCGGCTGAGATGGTCTCAGGAGCCAAGCTCCCCTTGCCCCACACGCCCATTTGCCAGTTATCTCTGCCCGTCTGTGACGACCCGCCCGTGTCTCTCCCCTGCAGTACGGCCTGAAGAAGAAAGAAGAGAAGGAGGCTGAGGAGAAGGCAGCCCTGGAGCAGCCGTGCGAGGGGAGCCTGACGCGCCCCAAGAAAGCCATCCCAGCAGGCTGCGGAGATGACGAGGACGAGGACGAGGAGAGCATCCTCGATACGGTGCTCAAGTACCTGCCCGGCCCACTGCAGGACATGTTCAAGAAGTAATGGCCACACCAGCCCCCAGCCCCACCCACAGTTCCCTGGTATTGCCGACTCAGCGCTTGGGCTGGGGTTCCCGAGTGGGGAGGGGGACGTTCATTTTTTTTATCCATTTGATTTTGTTTTGTTCCAAGGGGAGACCCCCCCCACATACGTCCTTGTGCCATGGGACCCCTGCCAAGCCACCCCCTTTGTCCCCAGGAGAGGCACATCAGGCATGGGATACTCTCCCCGTCTTCCCCTGCCCTCTACCCTTGCTCTACCCATCAGACCAAAACAACAACAACAACAACAACAACCACTCTCACCTGGTGTGCTCCCCGGAGCCACAGGCTGGGCACTGCCGGGAGCCTGGCTCCCCCCCTCCCATCCCCCACCTCTTAACTGTGCAACGCTGGAGTTCTGTTGTGCCAAAGGGCCAGCTGGCTGCATGGTTAGGGAAAAAAATAACCCTGAGCACAGACCGGGGCGGGGGGGGGGGGGCGGGACTCTGGGACCAAATTCACTGATGAGACCTCATGGGATACTGGAGGGGGAGGGGAGCCTGGGCTCTGCACAATGACCCATGCGCCCCCACGCCCATTCCACACAGCCCCATGCTGACTGCCAGGGAGGGATTGCGTGTCCCCCCACCCCACCCCCCTCCACGCTCCTGTTCCCGCCTATAGCTCCTTGGGGCAAGGCCAGCCCCCACACATTCCGTCCCTGACCAAGGGAACGACCAATTGGAGCGATCCTTCCCCCCCCCATCCCTAACTTCCAAGGGCTGTTGGCATATTGGATTGTCTGTCTCATGCTTGGGGAGGGGAACTCATTACCTGAGGAATCACACCTCAGACGCTGATGCAGATCCACATGGGCACGGAGGAGAGCGCAGAAGCTCTGCTGCCTGAAACCATTTCCAGCCCACACACATGTTCGCGGAAACACACTCATACTTCCACGGCCACGCTAGTGCTGGTGAAAGGGCCCAAAGGCCAAGTTCAGTCCTTTGGCCTGACCTCGTGATCCATGGGGGGGGGGGGGTGAAGCCTTGGGTTCAAGATCACTCGGCTCCCTCGTGGATGCAGGGAAGGAGAAGATCCTGTCATCGTGGCTGTCTCTGCCACCTGTCTTTAGTCCAGTTCATCCTTTTACTTTCCAGCTGCCCTGGTGTTTGATCCCTAAGTGTTTTGTGGCAGCTGCAGGCAAAGGTTACAGAGTAGGAGGGACAGAGGAAGTGCTCAGAGTCCTCAGCTACGCCTTCGGATAAGGTGATTATTCTGGAGACTGGTAAACTCAAGGGAGAGGGGTCGTCTATACCCTGACGCAGTGAGTGGGGGAGGGAAAGACATCCCTCCATTTCCAGGCTGGGAGAAGCGAGCTGTATTTATACCGATGGGAATCCAGAAGATGGCCTTCCACGGAAGGGGCTGAGGAAGTGCGAAGGAGGATCTGGGGGGGGGGACTCTGAGGCAGATCAGTGATACTGTGAGAGCAAACAGTGCCTGCTGGCTCAGTCTCTTGGGGCTGAGAGGCTCAGCCACCGATCCTAGCCAAACGAAGGGCTCTGCATCACACCCAGTAGTAGTCTTTGTGGCATCTTGGCCTCAGGAACCCTGCCACAGGCCCTCACAGAGGCAGACCCAGCCATGGGGTTGCTTCACGCATATTCAGATACCTGCATAACAGTTTGGTGTGCAAGCTATAGGGTGCCTCCGCATCACACCCAATCAGGGTCACACAAAGACAGACAGAAATCCTGTCTGAGCTGCTGTGGCTCACGTGACATAACCAGCGCTTTCCTTTTCACGCTGCCCAATTTCCCCTTTAGGTGAAGAGATGCCAAGGAACCTCCAAAACTTGCTGATTCAAGGTCCCACATACCTTGGGGGGAGACCCTTCCAATCTCCCACCTCTACAGCCCAGTCCCGCCCAGAGGTGTGGTGATCTACAACCCCTCCCCCAGCTCACACCCAGCTCTTCTGCTGTGCTGTTGTTGGATTCACTCCCTGCCTGCTACTCCCCATCCTTTCCCCAGAGGCACACAATTAGGCAAAATGGGTTAGCTAGAAGGTGAGGGGGAGTCTTGCTACTGTTTCGCCTGTACCCTTCCTTAGGCTTCTAGTCCTTAGCTACCACTGGAATGAAGGTTGGGATCAGCCTGCCTTGGGGGATTTCTGTGGGTCTCATTCTTTTGCATGCCTTTGTTTGAGAGGGCAGGTTCCCACTGTTCCCCAAGGTTTCCTGGTGCCCAAGGAGTTTCGCGCCAAGGTTGAGTTTGACATTGGGAGACACCTCCCTGCATCTCAGTGTCCCTCCTTCCTTTCTTCCTTCCTTCCCTAATAGTTAAAGCCATATCAGTTAGACTGCAATACTATCAACACTAAAAACTCCGCGGGCCACGCTCTCTCATCTTGTATAAAGGAGCGCCCCGGGGACGGGGGTCCCCCTCCCGCCCCCTTGCCCGCTCGTCCGTGTCTCTGGCCATCTGCCACGTGGCCCATGTGTGTTTTTTGCATTGGTGTCTCTGTAACAGGGTAAATCACCCCAACGCCTCCCATCTGTCTCATCGTCTCTGCTAGTCACTCACGAGATGGTCACCGTATGGCCCCATGGAGCTCAGGGCTAAGGGGCAGAGGGCCTCCAAGAGAGTGAAGAGAGAGAACCAGGCTGGAGCGGTGGCAAAGGGCCAGTCCATTGGTGTTTTGTTTTCATTTGTTGACCCGGCATTTGCTTTGACCAGTCGCTTGTGTGCAATCATCCCACAGGGCAAAGAGTGTGATTGTAGTGTGGAGTGACTGGCCAGCAGGGCTTCCAGAAGAGGCATGCTGGTTGCAGGCAGATGGGGGCTGTGTGCCCAGAGGACACGACCCTGCCTGGGTTCACTCATGTCCATTGTCTACTTGACCTTCGTGGCTGAATATTGCAAACTGCAATAACTCCACCTCACATGGGGCAAAGGGCTGATGCTGGAGCCAGCTTCCCACCATGGAGTGGTGCTGCTGATGCTCTCAGTTTATATTTCTACAACAACACCCACAGGTTGGTGTTCCGGACCCACAGAGTGGGCCGACGGGGCTGCTAGTGAGCCCTTGTACCCACACACACACACACACACACACTGCCCACAAGACTTCCGCTACCCTCAAGGGCCTATCCCAGGCAAGAGCTGAAGGCAAAAACTGGCTGTATTGGAGGGATTTGGGATAGCGGGGCCTACAGCAGAGCAGAATAATTAAACCACCCTGTGGGAATCTCAGTGGAGCCATTGTGGGACCCTTCTCATATTGCCTTTGCAGCATAGGAAGTGCGGCCGTGCAGCTCTTCCTTGCGCCACTGAGGTAACTCCAGAAGCCCCAGGCACAAGCGACTGTGCTCATACTGCTGCTCCTCCCTCCGCCAGCATCACTCCTCCTCAAAGCTGGAGCGTTGATGGCTTTAGGGAGCAGCCGCTGTGTGTCAGCCTGGCAAAAGTCCCCTGTCAAGTGCTTCATAGCCAACCACTGCTAGGAACTTGATGAGAAGTAGCTTCCAATCTGAAGTGCTCCTGTTCTTCATTTTGCGTGTGAGAGAGAGAGTGATGGAGAGCGAGAGGGTAAACCGTGGAGGGTTATTACCAGTCCTCCTCCCTCATTGCATATAACCTGCATCTTTTGAGATTCCCCAATTCTCCACTTTGTCTTTATACATTTCTGGGCCAAGAACCACTACTAGAGGTGTGCTTTGGTCTGCGCAATTGTGTTTACGCCTGTGGTTGTGTATGAATGGGCGTTTACATTACTGCATGAATGACAATAAAGGTGTGTGTGTGTGTGTTTGTCTGATTTTGTAGGAAGAATTGCTGACCTTCTTTATGGCTCTGTGAGCACGTGAATATGTAAGTAAGCCAGGGAAGTCAACAGCATGGATATGGATGTAGCAGTATATATGGGGGGGGGGATGAGTGAGTTTGCATAAAACCGGAGGAAATGTTTGAGTCATCTCTGCCCATTCATCTATCATTCTCAGTGTCTCCAAGTGTACATGTGCACCATTTGTTTTCAAATGGCTTCCAGAGCAGGGCATTCCACGGGGACTCAGCGCTGGCAAAGAGCTGATCCCAGCCACCAGATGCTTCTCTGTCCCCATTCTCCAAACTGATGGAGAGCACTGCGGGAGGGGCCCTGCTTCATGACCCTGTGCATGGATTCCCCCTTGCTTGCTTGCCTATCACTAGTCTGTATGGGGGAGCCTGCTTCTACCCCGTACACTCACCTGTCATATTGTGTGAACCATCCCGCATTGCTTGTGCCATCTGTTTTCTACAGTCATCCTGTCTAATTGGCTAGTCCTCCTCCCACCTGCACCTGGGAGGGGCATCTATCACAGAGATGGGGTTAAATGGGATCCTGAAAGGAAAGGAAGTGCAGTCACCACACTCTGGGGGAGCCCTTCAGGTTAAAGCTAAAGGGGCACCTCTGTCATCCCACTAGAGAGCTGAACTGCCAAGCCAGGGAGTGCGCCACTTGTGAGCCATTGCCCTTGCACCCTGCAGCCTGACTTTGACTGGGGGGGGTGAGCAGGGAGTGGGACTTCCCCTCTCCTTTCCTCTGTGGGGTGGAGGATGCAGGCAAAAGGGAGGGGGCAATGAAGATGTGAGGGGCTCCATCTGTCCACCCTATGGTGACCATCCTGCTCAAACTAGTCTTTGAAGAAATAATAAAATAAAGGAATTTGTACATTGCCCTGTGTCCAGTGTCTCTGGCCGTGAACGTGGGAGAAGGGATCAGAGTGGTGGCAGCGAAAGAGTGAGAGAGGAGTAACATCACATCTTGAAAGAGCTCTGCAGCTGAGGCTTCCTCTGCAGCAAATAGCCAGGGGGGAGCAAAAGAAGGAACTGTGGTGTGCCAGACGGATTTCAAGGTGAAGTATGCTCGAAGCCCCATGAAAGAGAAGTGCTGCTAAAAAACAATTCATGCTTGGAGAAGGCCTCCCAGGAGAAGCTATACCCACTGAGTTGATTCCTCACCAGCCTGTGTTTAAGTTTCTCACTCATACCAGTGGTGAAGCATTCCAATATGTCCTCTTTATTCTGTCTTGCAGCCCAGTAGGTGTC